TCAGGAGCCAGGTTCTGTACCCGTCTCTCCCTGGGGAAGCCAGCAGCTGACTACCCCTTGCTCCCCTGTGCTGTGCACAGGGGAGATGCACTTCAAAGGAGCTCTCTCAGCAGCGCTTTGCAGAGTGAAGGGCAGGGCTGAGCCCCTTCAGAAGTGGCTCTGCCCTGACCTACCCACAGGGGAGCAGCAGAGGTGGTTGGTGTGTTTATGTGCCTACAGAAGGGATGAATGGCAGGGAAAACGCTCCTGCAGACCAAACTGTATGGGACGATGGACAGGCTGCAGCATCGCCAGCCTCGACAGGGGCCACGTGTCCTGTGTACCACAGCCTGAGACATGCCAGGAAGCTGTGGGGGCCACAGCTCTCAAGTGTGGCAACAGATGAGTGGTTAAACAGGTCTCTGTGGTGTATTTTTGTGATCCAGCATGTCTGAGCCAGCCGCCCCTCGACAGCACACCGGCAGAGCTGGTAAGATGGGCTTGTAGCTCTGCACCAGCAAACAGCAGTGCCCAAGGCACTGCAGCTGCTAAAAATGGATGCCATGTGTAGGGTCAGCTCTCAACATGGGAGGTGGGAGGGCACCAGGGCAATGCCTTTGGTGAGAGATCTGGCCTGGACAACGCTGTGGCAGGAGTGTGTACAAAGGAAGGGACAGGCTCCATCATCCTCCCATCCGCTCAGGGGATAATTGGCAGCTTCTTGTCCCAGTCAGTATGGATGGAGAAGGGGAGATGCTGTCAGTTAGCATTAGTGAAGGCTGGCAGAGCTCTCATAGCAGCTTGCAGAGCACCATCAACACATTCCTCAGGCTCAAGCCAGTGATTTAAGTTGCCTGCTTTTCTAGCATAAGAGTCTGGTAATAATTTAAATCAGTACAACTCCTCAAAAAGCAGCATTCTTAGAATTTCTGTCTAATTTACAAGTCAAATCAGATGGGCTAGCACAACCCATGATGCTACCTTAAGTGCTCCGGAAAATTTTGTTGTTCTTCATTTATTGCAGCAATGAAATTTCCCTTTTTATTACAGTTTTCTTGACAAGAATTTGCAATTTATTTATTTTTTTTTAATCTTCGTTTTGGATAAAGATCAGAGAAGGTGGTTTGGAGGCTTTGCAGGGACAGCACAGGAAAAATTGCTGTGAATACTAAAATGATTTCAATGGACAATAGTATAATTCAGAGATTTAGTTAAACCAGTAGACTGTCAAAAATGAGATTCATTGTCATTCATCCCAAGAATAGGCACCGTAACGGCTCTGTGCTGCTCCACTCTTCAGCACGCCTCCTGGTAGAGAGCGTTCCTTGGGAAGTGAAGTGAAACCCCATAGCTGTGAGCAGTGCAGCGCAATCTGAGCCATGCCCTGGATCCCACAGGACAGGGAGAATGGACAGCATGGAGACTGATTCTCCACTCACTGGAGGAACCATGGGGAGGAAGGAGGGGACCAGGCAACACAAGAGCCACAAAGGTTAAGACTGAGAAATGTTAATAATTCAGCATGCATTAACATGCACATTCCTTGCCTTGAGAGCAAAGAGCATGAATTGATCGCTTAGCTCCTTTCACCACGGGAATGGCTGTTCCCTAGCAGCTCAGATTCCCTCTGAGGGTGATGTTACCCCTTTGGAGAACCAGGGACCCCCCCTCCCTGCTACTGTCTGCGAGATTTGTAGGCTGAGGTCTGGGCATAAGTGCTCAGGGCTCACAGGCCACTGCTGTTGGCCTCTCTCTTGCGTGCTGAGACACTGCTGGCATACAGCGAGACTGCTGGAAACACAACAGTGCCAGGAGGACTTCCCATGCTTCCAAAACTATGTGGTTGTGCTATGGAAGGGGAAACCAAATTGCTTTTCCCTGCTGGCTGTCTTGGCCACAGTACGGCTGAGCAAATGACAATGCTAAAGCCCCTTCCTCCAGCTTGCAGAGTTGCAGGGAACTCTACTTGTCTGTGCTTGCTTCTGGGTTTCCTTCTCACCAGGCTTACCTGGTATCTGTCTAACTCTGGGCTTCATCTTCCCCTTTCCTGGCACCCCCATCACAGGCTCACTGCGTGCTTCCCCATGGCGATGGAGAACTGTGCCTGTGCTCTGCATGCTTCTGCATTCAACTGCTTTGGTCCTGCTCCAGTATCCTGACATCCTCTCCCCTTTACTCTTCCTCTGCACAAAGGAGCAGCAGTCTGAAGACCTGTTTGCTCTGAAGGAGGACTATCGCTGCTCCTCCCTGGCCTACAGCACAGCAAAGGCAAGTTTGGAGGGCTCTGCTCCAACCTCCCAACAGAGATGACTAGTAGAGAGTCACACAGGGCCACATCTTTGAGAAGGTGAGAGTGCCCCATTTCATTACTCCAGCCAGACAATCTGGAGGATCTGTGCTGCACAGGGTGTGCTCTTGCGCTAGCCACACTGCTACCCTGCCCAGAACTCCTGCATTCCTTAGGAACCACCTCCTCTGAATCAGGAAGGAATGAATTTAGGAGATATCCTCAAACATGATCATCAGCTTGTGTGGTTTACTCATCTGTAGACACCCTTCATCTCACCCTAGTGCTATCATTTTAAAGAAGGACTTCAAATGGAAAGGCAGTTGCTAGTCTCACAATCTATTGACAGAATCAACAACAGGAGAGGAAAAATTGGAACCAGAAAAAATGCATTTACAGTCTAATCTTGTGCTCAAACAATGCTGTACTATTTATGCTCCCAATGCATCCTTGAGTGCTGACATTTTATAGACAATTTCCAAAACAGGGCCTTGCCATTTCTGGATTATATTTCAGCTATAACTTTTAGGTCTAATTATTTGCGCTGACAACCACATATAAAAGAGGATATATCATTACAGTGGTGCAGCATTGGAGACACATCAGCATTCAGCATGCTGACATACTAATAGCAAAGTAAGGGAGAGCAAGATTGTGGAGCTATGCAATTTGCATTCGCTCTCTGAAATTTCTCTGATGAAAATAACACAACATTAAGGAGGGAAATAAGAGAAAAGATCCACTGTATCAAGATAAAATAACTCGTTAATAAATAACCTTGTAGCAGTCACAGAGCAATAATTAAATGCATGGGTTAGCAGTACACAGTTTTAAGTAAAGCTGGAAAAATGTAAGATGTAATTATCAGTGCCAAACAAATTATAAGCACGGCAAATCCCAATGGAATATTTAGAAACTAATTCCTGGCTTCCCATTAAATATTTGTGTATGTGGATATTTTTGGTGGGGTGGGAAGGAGGGGTCAACACAAAGAATGAGAAATTATCCACTCCTGCTGGCTTATATCCATTCTCAGCTGCCTCCCCTCAGCTAAACCATGTGGCTAAAACGTTTAAGTGCCCTGTCAAAGGTTCATTCTCCAGAGGTGCCTGAGCCATCACAGCAGTGCTCCAAATTTACTGAAATCTGGGAGGCTTTGGGCCTTGGCTTTCATTTCTTCTCTTTTCTTCCTTGTTCTCATTTTTCATCATTGTCTTGGGCTTGGGTAATTTTATCCTCTATAAAATCTATTTTTAGAGGGTAAACAACAAGGGCCCTGTGCCTCAGTACAATCTAAATGAGAGCACCTTCCAGGGAGAGAAACAGGAATGAAGTCAGTGTACTGGAACAACTACTAGGACAACTTGTTAAAACTTGTTGCAATGGTAAGATCAACTCATGCAGCTGCCCAATGGTGATCCTGAGAGAAGCTGGGGTCCCTCCCTGGAAGAAGCTCTGAGCTGCAGAGCTCCTGCAGTGTGTGTGGAGGGACAGACCAACATGGTACCTGCTTGGTGAAGGAGTTCAGAGACTTCTGCCAAAACCACCAGCTTTCCTCAGCATGAAATCATGAATGCCTTGAGCAAGGTCTGGAGCTAGATTTAATTTAAAAGCTGGAGTTGCCTTTCACAATTGTCCTTTATTCACCTCTGGCTTTCTGAGGGCAGCAGGACAGAGCAGGGCAAAGCACAAACCGGATTTTGCTGAGCAGCTATGAGCTCCTGTGAACATCGCCATGGGCCTCCCTGAGCCATCCACGGTAAGACTGGGGCCACTGCCAGAGCTCCCTGCTCTCCTGCCAGCAAGAGCAAGATCCAGCCCCAGGGAAGAAAGGAGAGGCAGACCTGCTCATGCCAACGGCCTTTGTCCAAGCACGGAGAACTGGCCACCCCCAGAGTAGGGCCTGCAGTGGAGCCAGGAAGCTGCCTCAGCACGAGGGCCTCGTATCTCCCAGCCAGCTGCCCCTATTGCCCTATGGCAAGGGAAGGCAACATGCTGGGTTCTTCTCCAGCTGAGATCAAAAGTAAGCTTTTTGCCTCTAGAGAAAGTGAAAACTTACAGCTACAGGAGAAATTGAGGAACCTGCTCTCCCATAGCAGCTTGTGAGGAGACTGGAGATCATTCCGATCTCTGCTTCCAAAGACTGCTCTTGATCTCCGGCCAGAAAGCTGCAGCAGTTTAGAGGTATTACACTGGTACCTAGCACAGGTAATGGGTTAGAAAAGGACCCCACATACAGTAGCATGCAATTCTTCCCGCCCTATCTCTGAACAAAGGTGCCCTGGCTGGTATTTGCATGCAGAATGTATTATGTGCATTTTAAATCTTAAGCAACAAAGACATGCAAGCAAAGTATCAATGCCATCACCAGAGCCACAGCAAATAGTAAGCAGATTTCATCAGGCACACTGTGGCCGTGCCTGGAAGGGAGCCAGAGTCTGTAGGGCACCCTCCCCTCTTGGAGATGGCTCTCCTCTCCCTACTGGAAAGTCCCATCTGACGTGGCGTACTGTAGATGGATAAGAAGTGAAAAGGACCAACCTTCTCGCTGATCTGAGAGATGAAAGTTTGTTTTGTTTGATGGCAGAGTGCGATGAAGATGAGGAGGGAATAAAAAAAGACAAGGAAAAACACAGAGAGTAAAAACAGGCCAAGCTTCATCTGTCCGCACACCACTGAAACGACAAGACAAGACTACAGAGGTCAGCCATGACTTCCCACCGTGCACACACACCACTCCATGTTGTGGACAAGAGTGTGCCACACTCACACTGCTCTGGCCTGGAGCAAGGAGCCTCACTGACCTGCTCACCACTGCTTCTTGAGGCAGGGCGCAGGAGACTGCACATTCCACACATACTCACATGGAGGGTACTTCGGGGCAGCCCAGTGCTGGGCCAGATGCTGGAAGTACAGACATATCTACATGTGCAAAGCACTCACACACACGCACAGAGCAAGGGACTCCAGCCATCACGCAGGCTGACGTGCTCCCACACACCCGCTCCAGCTATAAAGATGATGGCAAAGGCACTTTAAAACCATTGACCACACACTGGGAAGAGCATATACGTAGATCCGAATTTTATCAAGTATGAAAGAAATGTTCCAAGTGGTGAATGGAAAATCTTCTACCATGAAGAGTTGTTCCCCCTCTCCAAACAAAGAGCTAAATGCAGCAGAGAGGTATTAGGCAAGTGACAGACGTGCAGGCTCAGCTGGGCTCAGTTTCGGGAGAGCCTTATTGGTACACTGTGCTGCGAGTGAGAGATGGACAAGAAATCAGGACAAAAACACCCAGAGAAAATTGAGCAGATCCCAGTTTTTGTTCCTGTGGGAGAGACAGTAAAAGGTTAGTTGCATTTTCCTTACAGACAAAGGAGATCTTATTTCTCTAGCAGGAGTGACCTCACTCCAGCTACAGATCTGTGGCGTATCAGCTGTAATTGAACACTCACTGAGAGAATACAGAAGTGGATTTGATAGTTAAAGACTGCTTATGAGTCACATTTTTGATGGGGGAAGGAGCAGGTGGGGGGAGGAATTTGCTTTCCAGCAGAAACGCTGCAAATTAGAGAACAGCATGTGGCATTATACAGTGCAACAGTATAGTCAGCCATTTCCAGCAAAAAGAGGACAGGATTTTAACCAACACTGACATGGTACAGATCAGGCAACAAACTGACAATAAGAACTACAACAGTGGCCTGCGAAGTCTAATGGAGCTTGCAGGAGAACAGCAAAACAGTTGTTTACATTTCTTCAATTGAACTGGTATCGGGGACAACCAGCCAAGCTAGAGTTTAACTGGCCCATAAGTGAGGGCTACATCCAGCGAGGCCCCCCACCTGAACATCCTCAAAACAAACAGTCCTAGCTTAAGGTTCAGGTTTCCTCTGCCCTGCTTCAGGCAGGGGAATTACTTCTTGGTCCACAAAACATTAACATAAGGCTCATTTAATCCTGTGAGACCCTGTGACGGGAGGGAACCTCTTTATTGCTGCTCCCAAGCCACCACTTTATTTCCTAATTTAATGGAGCATATCACATCTGCTTGGCCTTGGTAAACAGCAAGGGGCTTCTGCCTTTTGCTCAGCTCTTCCCAATAGGGAGAATTTGTTTCCTGCCCTTGCCCAGGAAGGACAGTGCTTCTGGCAAACCAGGCAGACCCATGAATGGCTGCATTTCTGGAAAGCAGCACCAACATCACAATAGGACAAGACAAACTGCAAATGCTGCAAGCATGGACCATCCTGCAGCACCTGATGGGACTGTGTGACAGAATGGAAAGAGGTTGGTGAAGGGTGTAGGACCAGGGGATGCTGCTGAAACAGCTACAGGAGCACCCATCCCTGCTGCAGAAGTGCAGCAGCCTCAGAGCCTCTCCTTGCCCTTGGGAAACCCTGATGGGTCCCCAGCCACACCAAGGGGACTTGCCGTGGTGCCACTTGGCCTGCCTGGGGGCAAGGCAAGGGGTGCTGCTGCAGCTGAGGGACAGCCAGGGGCTTTGTTCTGGGGAGCTCGGCAGGGATGGCACTGCATCAGTGTGCATGGACAGGAGTAGGCTCCAGCAGTGGCTTTCCCCACATATTGACACTTCAGATTAGAGTTGGAAAGGTGAGGAGATACATGTGAAACACACTAATTCAAACAGATTACTTTCTGGTCTGTCAAACAGGAACAAGTTTAGGGCCTGCTATTTGTCACTAATTGCTGGATTATCCCTTAATCTCTTACTATATTAGTGGCTTATGGGGAATAAAAACCAGTAGCAGGCTATTTTGGAACAGCTGTAAGGCAAGAGGGAACACCTGGGCAGAAAGTTCTCTCTCTTTTCTCTTTAGTTAATGTTTAAACAGCTGCTGCTTTATCTGAGATAAACCTGATAAATGGTAAATTGAAAGTTTCATCTCATCCCATTCACATACTCCCTTACCTCCTGTTCTCTAACCATGCCAATCCTAAACTGAAAAGCATGTTTTAGCAAGTTTCTCTGCTTTTTTATACAACTGAGCAGTGACAGTAAGTATCATCTGCCCCGCCATGTAGAGACTCAGGATTTAAGGCTGGGGTTACCCAGAGTATCCTCTGTGCAGAATACCACAGCTCACTAGGCATGTGTTTGTGTTCCCATGAACCCGAGCTGCCCGGAAGCTAACTTGAACATGCCAGTCTATGTGCAAGATAAAGCAAGTGAAGTCACAGCAGAAATGCCACCAGAGGATAGCAAACTCCAGAAGGTAAAAACAGGGCTCCTTTTGAGATTCGCACTGAAACAGCAAAGCAGCAAAGAGCAAGCCCGTATAAGAGATGTTTCTGCCAGTCCTGTCAGATGGCTCCAGTGCTCTGCAGGCAGAAATTCCCATGCTGATTGAATTTGGTTTTTACCCTGCCACAAAACATACTTGTCTTACGCAGCAGCAGCAATACTCTAACCACAGCAGCTTGTTGCAGAAAGAATGAGTTTGGGTTTATGGGAGGGCTCTGCTCTTGTGTACTCTTGGGCATCAGCTCCCTGAAACAAGGAAGGGGCCTGTGGCCAGGATACGAATGCACAGGTCTGAGAGTTTAGATCGCTGGCTCAAACAAAGGAAGACATTTCTAAAGCTTTTCAGAGTGGGAAGCTAATACTTTCCTGAAAGCAACAAGAAAGTTTATTATCCCAATTGTCTCCGTATTCTGCTGGTAAGTGCCAGCATCTGTCCTTGTGCTGAAAACCCTCCGGTGCTATGCAAGGCATTAAGATAAAGGCAAACCCAGACTCTTTGGGATCCAAAAGACAGCAAGGTTAACAAAAAACTAGAGGGGGATGAACCTGTTCCTGCTTATCTCCAAAAGCACATCTTGTGTCTCAAGGACTCTACATAAATCAAAATTTATCCTTTAGAGCTTCTAGAAGTATAGACAAACAAAAGGACAGATTGTCTTTTTTACGCCAGATTACACGAGACTGAGACAACCTCCTATTATATGTGATGAACAATGTTCTCATGCCACAGTGATGAGTATATTCCATCCTAGAGAGACAGACAGGATGCTCAGGGCGCCCAAACATCCTTTCCCATTCATAGTGCACACACATGCATGCATGAATTCAATTACGAGCAGAAAATCTCAGAGCAGCAGAGGTGGATTTCCTAACCCTTCGTGCAAATGGATATGGAAGGAGTGGGAATGGACGTTTAGTCAGCACAGATACGCAGGCCTAATTGTTCCACAGACATCTATGTAGGTCATATAGGGAGAAGAAATAGGTTTCCAAGTCCATTTCTGTGTTGCATTATCACGCACTGAGCCACCAGTCACTCTCCTTCTATTTTCCACAAAGGTCATTTTATAAATAATCTGTCTTGAGCCTCACACTGCACTTTTAACTGTCAAAGGACTCTGCAAAGAATAAAACTGTTAGGCTTACTTAGTTCAGTTCTAAACAGCACACTGAAATCTTTAGATGCCAAGGTGCATCTGCCCAAACCACAGCTACTCTGGCTTTGGCTATAGCAGTAGCTTCAGCATGGAGCAGCATCCAGGGGCAGAGGAAATGAAGTTTAAGATACTGAAATCCCATAAAAAGAGTGCACTTTCTTCATCAAAGGGTCACTGCACTCTGTGGCATTGCTGTAGTGCAGTATTATCTTGAGGTCAGGACTGCACAGTGTACACAGGGAAATCATGGTCCTTCAGACCTGTAGCCCTCCTCAGCCACATACCAACTGCTGAGGGGTCATTACTTGCTGGCCTCTATCACAGCCTGGTTTTGCTTCTTCTGATGGTCCAGGGCAGCCATCTGTGCAAAGCAGCAGTCTGGGTCATCCAGACTGATTCAACTGCCTGTTCGTGTTTCCTGTCACCCTGGCATCCCCATCACAAGTCTCTCCAGTCTCTGCTTGTCTCTGACTGCTGCCAGACCCTCACACACCGGCAATGCCTCTCTCTGGTCAAGTAATGCCACCCCCATCAACCCTGACAAGAGGCAAGTTTAAAGGAGCACGTTGCAACAAATATGCATATAGCTGGGTTGTAAACAAACCCATTGCCCATTTTTCAGACAACCCCAGTTTTGGTTGCTGACTGTTTGTCCGCTGTCCTGAGCTTTTACTCGTCTGGCAATAGCCTCAAGCTTTGACTGCTGTTGCTATTTTAGCTGTTTTAATATTACATAAGCATAAAATGTTCTTTTTTAAAGGCTTCAAGTCTTGTTGCTCCAGGCCCATGTCAGTCATTCAGAATTATTATTATTTACACAAGGTCCCCACTGCAGTAAGCATCATGCAGCTGCAAGTAGCCATTTCCGTGACTGAGCCTAAGCTATTGCCAAGTCCCCAAGTGTAAAACCCTGCGGAGGCCAGACAATCACTGCTAGGGACAGAGCCACATCCTAATTCCATTTTGGGTGATGGCTTCTTAGTGAAACTTGGCAAATAAACCTTCAGACTCCAAGCAAGTTTCCCTGCTGCCATACGAAATACTAGCCTGGCCTTTCAAAAAGCAGATCAAGAAAGCATAGATTTTTGCAGTAATATAATTTCTATTTATTTGCAGCCTGATTTACTGATTCGTGATCTGGGGACAAAGGAGACAATTCAGTTTTAAGTGTTTTTTTTTTTAAAAGCAGCTGTGCAGCTACTACAGTATGTAGTAGAGCACTACAGTATGTGTAGGATTTTGGGCCAGGGACCTCACTGCACTTACTCCACTGGACTACTTCTTGAGGGCCTGAAAAACAGCACTTAAGAAGTGAAAACTGGGCAGCAGATTTCTCATTTGATGGGAAGTATGCAGCCAATGCTCCAGTAAGTATTATTCTAATAGCATCTGCATTGCTCATTGCTGTAAGCAGCACTGGGGAACACACCTAGTGAATTCCACAGTGTATTAATAAGGATATTATTATACACAGTCTTTCTGCTCATCTGCTTCACTGAAGTAGGAAAAAATAATGCCATGTGTAGAGAAAGAGAAGGGAAAAAACCCTTTTCATACAGGGGAAGAGTAAAATAACAGTGCCTTTTATTGAGGGGAGCACCACACAGGCCACCACCTTTGCAGGCATTTCATATGACAACACTTATGGTTCAAAATGCTTCTCTTTGTACAGATGTCCCTGAAGCTGTAGGCAAATGAAGAGTGAAATGTCTTAATAAAAAAACAATAGTGTAGGTGAATCAGTGCAATTATGATATACATCCAGGGAGCATGACACAATGATACCACCTTTTTTTATTCCAAACTAGGTCCAATTTGCCTTCTACTCTTAAATCAATTTCTTGTATATCTTGAATCAGCTTCTTGGATTTTTGCTGCTAAATTAGACAGTAAGCTCTCTGGATTAGAGGAATCACATTTTCCATACATTTCTATTCCCTTCCCTTCTCCCTGCAGCACCAGGAAGTCCCAAATCTAATCATTGTTACAATGTACTGTGGTGCATATAACCATGGACCACAAATGGATGAGTGTTCCTTCGGGGTGGTAACAATAACTTCCAGACCAGCACGGGCAAATACACTTTTGCTGAAAGGATAGAATATGAATATGCCACCATGACTCCCTTAAAGTCCATGTTATACCCCAGAGAGCCACACTGCCCTGGCATGCTCCCTACTGTGGCTTTCACTCTGTTTTTGCTCCTCTGATGGTCTGGATGTTTTCTGCAAGCCTCTGTGCATGGAAGGTTGAAGAGCATCTGTGGGAGGCAGTTAGCTCCCAGTGCTGGTCCCCAGCCCCAGCCCAACTCTGCAGCAGCAGACAGATAGATCTGTCAGTCCAGAAGCAGAAGGCTTATGAGGGTTGCTTTCCAGCACACTTAGAAGAAAATAATAGCTTCGAGAAAAATGCATCCATTTTCCTTTACAAATCCCTGGTGTGGAAATGTTTTAACTTTTAATGAAGTCCATCTGTGCATTAGGGCTTGCTCTAAAGGATTCACAGAGACAAGATGCTGGCATAGCCTGCTCCTTCCTCCTCCTGTTTTTTCATTGATATAGGAAGCCCTGAGCAGTGCCTGGATACTCCTTTTCAGCTCTCAGTATCTTCCTTTGTTAGCTTGAAAAGTATGATAAAGATGCTAATGAGCCTGTGCTTTCCAACACAGCACACTTACAAAGGATTACCTGGGAGGTAGGAAAGGGGAGGACATGATCAAAAACATAAACCCCAGGAGTCAAGAGAAACAAACATTTAAAGTATTGAAAAAACAATAGGCTGTAAATGAGAGCAGACACAAGCAGCCCTGAGAACTACACAGGGTGGGAATTAGTACTGCTGCTCAGCGCTCAGCCATGCTTTTAGAGAAAGTGGCTAACTTATTGGGTATTCATTGCAAGGAGGTCAATCATTAGGAAACCACCATGCAGTGGTGGGGCGGCCGACACACTTAATTTCCACTGTAATTTAGCATTAATTAATGTCTTCCCTAGTAAAGATGCAGGCACTTTCTAAAGACCCTACTGGAAGTCACTGATCCGTCTAATGACAACACTGTAGGACTATCACAAGAAGGAAAGCCAGTGATTCTTTTACTCTGCACCCCAGACCTGAAAAAGTAAGATATTTTCATTTTTCCTTGCTTGTTAAAGAAATAAAATATTGTTCTTGGTTTTACTTTTTTAAAGTCATTAACTGATACAGTAACAAATTGGTATTTTTTTTTTTGGTAGAACATTTGTTATATCAGAAACTGTAAGCACAAATACCATCTAGGACCTATTACGCACAGCGCATTTCATCTGATAATAATTTATGGGGTACCCTGTCTTAAACATACAGCAGGGCTTTATCAGTATCACACGGGTTGGAGACTGACATTGTAAAGATTATATGTGCAATAAAGGGGCTTGTTCCAAAAATTTATGTATAAGAAAATGACAGTTAACAGTAAAGCATATGTCTAAGAACATGCTTTCTCTGCTGAACGTCAGGATCACCTCTCCCATGTGCAGCCCATCCATGGCCCACGCCTTGCCCAAACAGGATAAACGAACCTTGCTGAGCAGCAAGCCAAGTGTAAAATTCAGTACACTCCTCACTCCTACAGGATACACTTCTAAATAGAGTGTTCATCAGTAAGAAATCAGAAAGTTGTTAAGAGGAGGTTTTTCTACCTCTTGAAGCTCTTGTGCCTTTTTTTCAGCCACACCTCTATAGAAAACAGAACATTCAGAGTCTGAGCATGTCATAGGAAGCAAAAGCATCCCAAATACTGCCGCAGAACGGCTGGGTAACCACACAAACCTATGCAACAACAGCCAATCCGGTAACTAGGATCCTTTCCCTCAGAGTACAAAGTGACAATGTGGGATGAGTTTTAGCACAGCTTGCCTGAAAAAATGAACTTGCAGGGATACAGGGCATTTAAAATCATCCATAAGTACAGTGTGAGAGTGAAATGGGTGATTCCACTGCACAGATACATCTTCATCTTCTGAATAATGCTTAATTGGGTACTTCAGTCTTCCATAGACTCTCATAATCCAAATTACGCTGCAAAATAAAAAAGCAGCCCCCCAGAATAAGCAAAGAAAGCAATGCCAGAAGCAACCCCTAGAAGCAAACATACATGATGTGAAGACTTAATCATGTTCTCATGTCCTCTTGCCATACTAACCAATGCATATACAGCTTTGAGACTGTATTTTCTTTCTCCAGAACAGAGGAAGGAAGAAATGAAGATGAGATTTTATTATTAAACAGTTGATTTACTATGTGGAAATGAAATCTGGTTGTAACTTCCTAACAAACAATGGGTAGCACCAACACAGAAATCTTCCTTCTCTTCGTGGGAAAATCCATAACTACATTTCCCAGAGGTTCCTGACTAGTGGCTGTGGTTATTCAGAGTTTCAAATGAAGCAGCACATTTTTTTCTTGCTGAAATTAACAGAAAATATACAGGGAATTTAGCCTTTGCTTTTCTCCAAGCTAACTCAAACACCTTTAACATAGAGAAAGAAAACTGCCAGGAGACTGTCCTAATGGAAAACCTAGTTATTCTGGTATGTTGAAATCAGTTTTAAATCAGCAACATAGCATAACCATTAGAAAAATCAACTTTACATGAACTGTGGCTAATTTCCAGCAGGTTCCCAGTGCAAGCCACTTATACCCAGAGGTTCAACCATTGACGCATTTAAGATGGATTAGGACAATTCCAAAAAGCTGTTGAGCTTTTAAAGATACACATTCCAAAGCAGAGGCCTAAACACTGGCTCACCTAGAGCTGAGCACCTCTGGCTTACCAGAGCATGACCAGTTTTACACTATGTCACCAAAGGTTAGTTTATACTAAGAGGATTAAGCACCCCTCAATCACAATTAAAGTAACTATGGCACAAAGTTAAGGAGTTCAAGGGAGAAAGGAACTCCAGTTTTGCCCATATTTCAGCATTTTACATAACACCATATAAACAGCAAAAACAGATTTCCAGAAATGTGAGTCAAACCCAATGTGCATCGAAGACGTCCTTGACCTTAACTTGCTGGTTTTTGAGGAAAACGCCACATCACCCAACCCACAAAGTGTGATCAGGGCACTGAGACAGGGAACATACTCCTTCACTGAAAGCCATGGAGCCTTTTGGGCAGGAAGAGAGTGACCTCCTTGGGTGGAAGCTGCTCTTACCTCGAACGTAAAGGTTAGCTGGGGCAGAGTAGCGGGTTCCTGCACTGTTGGTTGCAACACATTCGTATTTGCCTTGGTCTGACTCCTCACTGTTCTCTATTTGCAGAGCTCCTGTACACAAACAAAAGGACACAGACAATTCAGGTTATGGCAAATCTGATAATTGAATAGCCAGCCTCAGAAAAGGAAGGCCATGCCTCACGCTTTTAAAGTATCTTCCTGGATAAATATATTGTGATATTCCCTGGACCCACAGGGTACCAGCATGCAGCCAAAAGGTACCCAGTCTGCTGTTAGAAGCTTGTGGAACTGATGACTGCTATTTCTTTTAATATACAGGGAACCAGTTACTGATGTATTTCCAACTGCCCCAACCACTTATATTCATTGCTTCAATAAAGGAATAAAAACATACACATACACACATATTAATTAAAGCTTCATATGGGATGCCTGTCTAACAAAAGGACCTTTAATAAGCCTTTAATCAAAACAGCCAAGCACAAAGCACACTAACTGTAGCTGTTTATTTCTTATCTGATGCACACAAAGCCTAGCAAATGCTCAGCAAATTGCAGCCTTCCTGCAGAAACTGGCAGAGTCCCATCTCTCCCACCTCACCACCCTTCTTCCACAGACACCCCCTTCTGAGAAAACACTTCGCCTTTTGTCAGCTTTATGTCAGTGATCTTCTTCTTCTTTCAGATTTCGTTATACATGATATAAAAGATTAGAAAGTCAGTGTGAGATATCAAACATACAGACTAATGCAATGCATCCATTTTGCCGCACGGTCCTCATGTGAAAGCCACCCTCTCTTGTCCCAGTATGCCTGATCCTCCAGCTTTGGGTTAGGACATGATCTGATCCCATCCCCAAGGTGCCACATGCATGAGGGGCTTATCTAAATAGCTGTAATAATTTTCAGAGCACACTGAGTAGCCATTTACTTGTAGAACCTGTAGAGTACTCATGATGTGGAAGTGAGCACTGGTCTAAGGTGGTTTTCTCTCATCTGCTCAGCCCCTTCCACCTGGTTCCCAGCACTGCTTGGCCTGGGAGGCTGGTCTTTCACCCAACTTCTTGCTTAGCACAGGTGACTGCAAAACTGGCCACAATGAAACTCCCCCGTCCCCCATATGCAGACTAAAAGATGGAGGTTCAGAGAAAGAAAGAAGCAGGATGCATATGACAGCAAGGTGGCACCGTTGGCTGGACACTGAAGTGGCTGGTACTCAGCCTGCTTTCCCGAGGCAACATGGGAATAATTTTGAAAGTACCTCCAAGGGCTCAGATTCTGCCTGTAAGAAGGGAACTCTGCTCACAAACCATACGCTGAACTAAAAGAAAACATTAACCCCCTTGCTTGTAAAGATCTAAACTCATTTCTGGCTGCCACGGTTCAAAACGACCACTGAGAGCTGCACTGAGAATAGCTGGTGAAATTTCCTTCTCCCTTCTTGCTGGTTCAAGCTGCAGAGGTCAAACTCAGTTTTTCATATCATCAGAACAGAGGAAAAACTAATGTGAATCAACCACTGCCACCTACATTATTTAGAAGGATAAATTGAGACTGTAGCATAAGTCTGTATGTCATGGGGAAAAATGAACTTCCCTGGGTTCTGCCATATAATAAAAATGATGTACAGAGCCCTCCCTGTTGTTGCATTAGTGCTGGAAATGAGGCTTCAGCTAGACAGAGAAAGTTTGTTTGTACAAGTCCTTCCACCTACTAACACAAGGACCTGCCAGCTTTCCCTAGCCATGCAGCTCTCTGGACACTCACAGGCCAAAGTCTACAGAACACTGCTGCTTAATTCAGGGAGAATGCTGAATTTCTACATGCTGTCTGGGAAAAACATCTTCAAGCAGACAGCAGCATGACTGGCAGAGGAGCAGGACAAAGTTTCCCAGCATTGACAAGACACAGAGAATCAAAGAATCCAGAAATGGAAAAGACCTATTAGGTTACCTTGTGCATCCCTGGGGGCCAGGGCTGGATTGCTCCTTGTTGTAAATGTACTTGTGTTCTGTCCAATCCCATTTTAAATGTGCTGAGTGATAGGTCTTTTACCACTTCCTCAAGGAATTGATGCCACAGCCTGGTTATACTTTCTGTCAGGAAGTTTTCCTGGAACTCAACATATATTATCTCTTTCTTAATTTGTGCTCATTACTTTGTGGGCATGCATGTTCTGAAGAGTTCATTCTGAGTACTTGCACCAGGTTTGGCTGGGAAAAGCTGTCTGCTGCATGACATATATACCCAAACTTAAAAAAAAAACCAAACCAAACAACCAACAAACAGAGTGGATGTCATCACCCTGAGGAAGAGCCTATCTCTGATGTAGCCTAGCTGGCTGGGCTGAAAGCAGAGCCAGCTTCAAGTGACACGCAGTGGTGTCTGCATAGAAAAAAGTAAGATCCCTAGACAATTCTGCCATGAATACATATCTGTTTATATGCCCCTTTAGCCATTTAATACGTATCACTGGTATTTATACCTTTTACACTTGCGATCACTATGCCTCTGAAATGTCAGTCAAACTGGATTTTATCTCTAGGGACCTCAACATCAGTGCAGGAGAGAGAAGAGAAAAACATAAGAGGATGAAGAAAATGAAGGCAGAGGGGAATTTCAGATTACATGCTGTTATTACCTGTCAGTCCTGCAGCCAACGCAGACCAATTTCTAGATTCATACCATAAACATGTAATATGTGTCAGCAACTGCCTACAAACTGCTCAGGGACACTGGGCACGGGATTCTGGTTTTGTCTGGGTTGGCACAATCATCCAAACTATGGTGCATCCTGAGCAAGAGAGAACCCAGGAAGCAGAAGGATGTTAATGCAAACCTCTCAATTGAACCAGAAAGAAAACAGTTACTGCAATAAATCATCATTAGACAAACATACAGATCCCACACTAGAGCTGACAGCCAGCAGGAAGCAAAAGGATCATGGTAAACTGATGGCAGACAGTGGGACTATAGGGGTTTTCTTGAAGGACAACCTACAACTAAGTGATGGATACAGGAGAGTGTAGGATATCTCAGGGTACAGAGATTTATGAATGAAGTTAGGGTGATCAGACATTGCTGGGATCAGAAAGCTGGACATATAAATGCATCTGAGCCTTGGAAAAAACTCCTTAAGTGACAAATACTCTAGCCCTTAGTTCAGTCATCCCAGAGAAAGGCAATAACTTCATCTCTTGAAGAGTTCAAGTCTAGGCTGGGTAGGACACGAGGAGCTACAGGAAAGGAAAAACTAAGTCCTGAGTAGCTCCTTTTCCTGAATTTCATGGAAGCTGCATCCAAAGACCCTCAAAAGCGCAGTGAATTCTTTGCTTTGACAAGTGTGAAGGACCTGATTTCTATTCCTAGCCCTGTCAACATCTCATCTTACAATCTTCTGCGCCTCTGCAAAGCAGAGCTAGGAAGGCTGATTTACTTTTATCCATTACTTTGGGATTTATGTTGCACAAGTTGCTGAGTAAGGTCTTGTTCACGCAGGATGTTACTGTAGACTTCTCATATGGACTCCTCATATGGACTCATGGTGCTCATGAGTCAGATGCCTTGTTCTCATTTGCATGGCTGAGTCCTGATGTGCAATCAGGTAGCACAGCTTCAGTGGATGCATGAGGACCACCTACCATCAGGACATGCATGTATGTAGGAGAGGAACAGTGAACAGCTTGTTTGGGAGCTCATGGAACTCTGCAGTGGTACGTGCGCATCAGAGCAACACCTCTCTCTGCTGAGCACCACCCAACCTCTGCTTCCTTCTATGAGCACCCTGAAGTGCAGCAGGGCTCCAGCAGAAGAGGGGCAGCCATTCCTCACCATGCTGTGATGCCATGTCAATCTTGCTTGCGGCTCAGATCCGTTCCCGATAACAGATCTCAGCTTATCGGAAAGCTGACAGCTCCTGAGAAAAACCCCTGGCAGGTCTCCAATGACAGCAAGAATGGTGACAAGGCAGAGCTTTCTAGGGCTGAGGGCAGGATCCAGCCCTGCTGACTGACAAGCATCCCTTTTAGGTTCTTTACTCTGAGCTGATATCTCCTTGCCAGTCCCTTCCTCCTCTCCTAGCTTTTTCTTTTGCTCTTCAAACTCAGGCACAGACAGCAGTCCTGTTAGCAGCTCTCCAAGATACTTATCTATTCAAATATACGTGTGCTCAGGCAGAATCATTAGCTGCAGTGACAGTGGGTAAAAGCAGCATTTAAAAAGTGCACTGCACAGAGAGCATGGAAAAGGCAGATCCTGACAAGGGGCATTTCTTGGCAGTGCTGGGTACTATTGTGCCACAGAGGGCTTGTCACTCTCTCCTCTAGGTGACAAACCAAATGTAAAAAGCTCTGAGCTGCCATACAAATGGACCTCTCTATATCTATTCAGGTCAGAGCTCCATCCCCAGCAGTGGGAGCAGCTCTATTTCTCTAGCAGGGCATTCACAGACTCAGTCCCCCTGGCTCAGAGTGGAGGGACTGACCTTATGCCCCGGTTATAAAATTAAACATGGAATTAAATGTTCCTGTAAATACCAAAGAGTGAGAGGAACCAGGCTGCAGTCACAGCACTCATCTAAGGGAAGGACTTGCAGAGCAGATGTTAATGAACAGAGTTACTTGACCAGGGCCGTTCCTGTCAGGGAGGAGGTAAATTTTGTCTATCCTGCACACTAGAGCACATGGCAATCGCAAAGCCTTCCCTTCTCTTTCCTCCTGCCACCCACCATCTTCCTCCACAGAAACACTGCCTGACTTTTCCTGAAGCAGTATTTTTAGCCACCCCTTCAGCCAGTGCTCAGGTCCCAATCCTCTGTCTGCTAAAAATTCCTTCCTTTAGAAAGAGAATCCTCCTAATAAAATCCAGGGAGCTGTGGAACAGGGCCAGAGGCAAGCCCAGACCAAACAAGAGCCCATAAATATAAGCATGGCAGAGAAAGAAATACTGTGAAGGCCTGACAATGAGGGAGTTGGATTTTGACACCCAGGCTGCTGCCTGAGACAACCAACACTTGCTGGGGGAGCCTTGAAAAACTGAAAGGCACCAAAACCACACAAGAGTCACTAATAACGAAAATAAGCATTTCCCATATTCACTACTTTCTGTAATTTATACCAGCAGCATCTCCCAGCTGTTATAGAGGATTGCACCTAGCCTCCACCAGCCATCAGCATTGCCAATTATGCAAACCAAGATAACTACAAATATATTTTCATTGTTAGTGTTCATTATGGTTATTATGCCTGAGAGGCCAGTGATGGGCATGCAAGGGGCCTGTTCTGGATGGCAGCGCTGCTGAGAAATCACTCTCCTGTGCACCAGAGGCAGCTGCTGATAGCACCCGACTGCTGCCACTGAGCCAGACTTGGGCAGAGATGGAGCAGAGGAGACCCCATATGCTCAGCTGCATGAGGTCTCTTAGTGGATTTTCAGGATGCTGTGATCTCTCACCAGCAGGTATAGGAAATCTCAGGGGACTCTGCGTCAGAGGAAAAACTACAGCACTGTCAAATGCACAGTAACACCTCTGTGTACTTCTAAAAGGACGTGAGTCAATCTGAATCCTGATGGTTAGAAATATGGCATTACAAACATTTCCAGGCTCTGCTCCACCCAACCTCCCCCCGACACTGTCTGCTCCTGTGAGCATATTTTCTCATTTTTAAATTGTTTTCCTTTCACCTTTTCTTTCTGTGACTGGAAAAGCTCAAGAAACAGCAAAAAAAATTTGCTATCATATACAAAGTGCAATCAAATGTACAAGCACATGCTCAAAAGAGACAGCAAAATTCTTTTAGGTTCCTCTAATCTCTGTGGATAGCTTTATGCTCCATCTCTCAGGATAGCGTCGATATATTGGAGCTATATTTAAACCAGGTCGCTCGGGACCGGAAAAGGTTTAGCTGCAGCTATACAGAAGTTGGTGCGGGTGTTTACCTGGCTTCCCAGACAGACAGCTTCTGACACCCGAGTGAGCTGATCTAAAGTTAATTCAGACACACCTCTGCTACGCTGACATCTGCAGGGAAGAAATACTCTTATGTATAAGAACCTCAGATATTTCCTGTGGTGACAGAAAAGTAACAAATAAATCTGACTGGAGAGGGATAATGCCTGAGATGATATTTCTTTACCTCCTCATGTGCATCTGATCTAATGCCTGTTCAGTCCAGCACCCACCAGAAACACAACCGTGCTCTTCTCTCTCTTACAGTGCAGGGCAGGAAAATGCAGCCAGGTTTCACAAAAGGTTGAGTGAATTCAATTCCAGAGAAATGCTGGAAATGACTATCTTACATTCTACTTTGAAAATAAGAATGGGGGCAGAACTTGCTTCAACATGGATTCGCTGATATTATCTGTGTGTCACCTTAAGAAGCTAACTACTGCCTAATGTGATGGGCATCTGCCAGGTCCATGTCTTTCTGACAAAAAAATAGGGATGTCAAGATTAAATTACTATCTGGGGCAGTCCCAGAGGAGTAAAGAGTGAAGCTACAAATGGAGATACTGAATTATTGATGGGAGCTCCTCCCATTTCAGGGAAGCCAGAGATGTCTTGGACAGAAAGGACCAAATATGTGGGGTAAGGTCAAATGAGGTGTTTTGAGAGAAAAATCTCCTCCTTTTGTGGGGTGCATGATAGAATGCTCAGGTCATCCTTGCTAATCACACACTGCTCCCTGCCAGTGGTTCTCCACTGCTTTGGCACAAAGGCCTTGCGTAACGCCTGAACCTGCAGGCACACAAGTCCTAGCGACACAGTCACAGCAGCAATTAAATCAAACCAAAACCACCCCTTCCTCCCCAAACATTATTACCAAAAGGGTTTGTAAAGAGTCATTAGTTCACCCTTCCTTTCAGACCAAATTAATGGATTCCAAAGCATCAAACTTACCTTAATGAGGAACAAGAGTGCAGCTGGGTATAGAACATGGCAGAACAGTCACTTCTACATGGACACAACCTCACCATCATAAAAGCACTTTCATCTAATCTGTCGTTATCTTTAGAAATCCAGTGACCTCCGTTTTAAATAAAAGGCATTAGGCTGACAGAAATCCTCTGGGAGAAGCCAGAGAGCAGCACGTGGCTTCTGTTTGCTCTCACAGAAATGTCATCTTTGACATTCAAACAGGACACATATTTTAAATAATATCAAGAACATTCTTAAAACACCTCATCAGGAATCAAATGGGGGTGGGAAAGGGGTGGGGTGGGGTGCAGGGAACTTATGTTTTATGAGATGGATGGTTCTTTTCACAGACATGTGTTCAGTTCCCAAGCAGGATGTATGGAGCATCCATGTGGTTCTGGTGCTGAGTCACTAATGTCATCAGGCAGGGCGTGCAGGCAGTGAGCACGTGGGGAGGTCCTGGGATGGCTGCGCACTTGGCATGCATGGCTGAGAGCTCAGAGCGCTCCTCTAGTTAGCATTCACTCTGTCATTTCATTTTAGGATTTGCAGTAGAAATAGGAGACAAAGAAATAGTTTAAGGACCTTGTAACATCACAGCTGTCAATCTCCAATATTCCAAAGGGAGGAATGACAGATATACAAGCCCATTCATATCAAAATAAGGATGGCAGCCTTTTTCCCTGACCCAGATTTGCTACAGAGGCAACTTAATGCAAATACGCATCAAACGGCAATTCACATTTACTCTAAAATCACTTAACAGGACTTGAAAACATTAACCCCCAGCAACAGAACCAGTTCCAAAGAGTCAGATTATTAACTTCCAGCAGTGATTCAGGGAAAAGGGGGAAAAAAGGGAAGAAGAGGGAAAACCTGAACAAATGAGGTCGTGTTGATTTGTAGGTGGTAGTCATTCTGCCAAGAAATCCAGGGGTCAATCAACAGGGGTAACCAAAATCACAAGAGAATTCACAAGAGCCTTAGCACGTAACATGCTGATTAACATGCTAAAGTTAATCTAAAGAGACAGCTTTGAGCGTTTAGGCTAGAAAAGACAACGCTCCAATTGGAAAGTTATTACTGGTGCATACAGGCTGTGAAAACTAGCCAGGAACTGCGCACACTGGGCTGTCAAACCAGGGGTGGGTTTAATTAATGAAGACTTAAAGCAGCCAGATGTGCTTCTGATTCATCTGTGTAGGAAAACACCTTGGTGCTGTGAAGCAGCATTGGTATGTCTGGCTTGGAAAGGGACATATAGGGTAGTGGTTCTCCAGTGTGCCCCTACATTAGAGGGTTAGTGCACTTGAAAAGCAAACATGAGGAATGCAAACAAAGGTGCTCCTATCCCAGAGCTAAATTTGCTTAAACTTTCAAGAATTTATCTCCTTCTGATTAGAGTTTCATGCCCATCAGCAGCAGCAAAGAATTTGACTGTTCTCTTGTGAAAATGTTACCTCCTTACACTTAACACCAAAGCAATCTATCTAAAACCCCCTAGACACAAAACCTCAAGGGCCACAACTGCACAGTAAAGTCAGAGACTTGCGAGAGCTGCAGAAGACATCAACCGATCCATGGCACAGCTCAGGGACCATGTTCCAGTTTGCAAACTTTCCGTTGAATAACCCCCTTTCAACAGTGCAAGATCGCAATGGATGAGTCTACAAGAAATCACGCTGAAAACCAACCAAAATAAATACACTAAGTGGGAGAGTGCAGATGAGCAAGAGCGCTGGCAGAGTTAGGGCTGAGAGTAAAAGCTGGAGATGAGAAACACCAGAGAAAGGACAAGGCAGACAGGAGATGGAGTGACGTGACAACTGGAGGCACATTTCAGCATTCTTACCTCTGATCGGTGTACCACCTGGTGAGGTAATTTGAATGCAAATAAGATTAGAGAGAAGCATTAGTACAAAGAAGAAAGGAAGAAAAATTAATAACTAAAAAGCAGAAAGTTTTTTAAAGCTAGAATTTGTTTTAGCGCGACAGGAATAAACAAAAAGAAACTGATGTGCAATAAAAGTCGGAGTGACACCCTCAGGAGGTTAGTAAAGCTCATCGCTTCCACAAGTGCAGCATCCAGCCCTGCATCTTGCCATTAAAGCCACCACCCTCATGAATGGGAGCCGAACTAAGCTGCTGAGGTGGCGTTGCCGGCTGGCCTCACCACTTGCATTCACCCACATCACTGTTCAAGCAGTTGAGATGGAGGACACGTTGGAAAGATGGTGCAGTGCCCCTTCATTCCTCATACAGAACACGGAAGGGGTGTCCTGGGACTGTGTGATTGTGAGTGTGCTGGGCAGGAGGGGTGGAAAGCACATGGTTGCGGGCGCTAGGTGCAATTTGGCTTTGAGGTTAGAACGACCAGTGGGACAAAATCTGCTTGCTTAAAGAAACTAAACTAAGGGGAGAGTGTAACAAATCAGTTTTGAGCCATTCTCCACATTCGCATAACCCTTGCATCAGGTTTCCCTCTGGCAAAGAAACGGGTGTCATGCAGAATTAACTTTACATACAGAAATATTTCGAAACTAAGTAGTTTCAGTAAGGTAACAACAGTACACTAGCCAGACCTCTGTTGCTCCTGCCCGATTTGTATGGTAGCAGGAGAAAGGAATGCCTACCCTCTTTATAAGGCACTGGAGATAATTTTACATGCTATAATGAAGTGTATCTTATAAGGAGGGCTTCTGTGGGAGTAAATTTAAGTTATCCTGTTGCACCAATCTATAAAGGTTTGGTTTATGAGGTCAATGTGTTTAGCAAGTGGAGGATCCACTGGTCAGTGTCTAGAGTTCTGTGTACAATCAATAATGAAGCATGATTGAAGGGCAGATGCTCCAGCTGGGCAAATTGGCAGGGAACCCTTCTAATCCCAACTTTTGTCCCCTTGGTCTTATTCTGCACATATGAAGGCTGTTAGTATAAGGGAGAGATTCATGCAGATTGAATCTGTAGGCAGTTCATGGTATGTGTTGGTTTTATGCAGATTTGTAGGATCTGAATACCAAACACTTACCAAAGAAAACTGAGGAGTTTAAACAGACAGAAAAACAGGGTTAAACAGGACACAGTGTGTCAAATCATGTTCAGTGTATTGATTAATAAATACCAGTATGCATACAAGAGTGTCGTGTATCTCAGATTTACAGCTCATTCCATTATCCACAACAATCATCACCCAATGGGAAAGAAAGACAGAAAAGAATTTCTGTAAATACAAAGAAGGCATATTTTAAGCATGTTTAACTTGCCTCTTAAAAAGTAATTACAATATTTATACTTAATCTTTTTCTTTCCTAACTACCCTTTCCTTTAGGCAGAGTCCTTTCTCTAAGCACGAGCAGCAATTCAAACTACTCATTTTGGCATTTTCCTCTGCCAAGATGACATTACTCCATTTTAACTTTATGTCTGGTTATATTTTCTGATGCTTTCTATCCAGATGACTGAAGCATCAGGAAAGATCTTGCAGTGACTGAAGTCATGGGTAATCTCTTTCTTGCAATAATAAATTTTCTGCTTACTTATCTATCTTAGTAACTACTGCTACCCTTGACAGAAGAGTTAGACTCAGAGATACTTGCATGGAATAGCACAGCCATGGAAAACAGGGTTATTTCTCTTTGCCTGTTTGAAAAGTTTGCCAAGTGATATTTTTGTTCTGTTTGGTCTAGGGCCTCCCTCCTCCTGTGCCCCCACCCCCATCCCCTTCTGCAATTCTCAGAGTTAAGAAAAGCATCACCGCAGTGTGTCACTTCCCATGGGAATGGTGCAATGACTTTGAGAACAAGCCCAAGGGGCAGAAAACAGAGAGAGACTTCCGTCTCTCTCATCTGGCTGAAATAGGGTTTGCTGTTCTGCCCTAGAACTGAAAGGATTTGCAGGAAACTTTAAATCTACTCCCTGTAGAGGCTAAACCCTATCACTAATATGCAATTGTCTACACAGAGCTCTAAGAGGAACTGCATACTTGAAGCAGATTCCCTAAAACGTAAGTGTGACCAGCTCATTTCTTCTTGTGTTAAATCCCAATCCTCCTGGCCTCCAAATGTAAGCCAACCCTTGCGGCAGCAGCACAGAGGCTTGCTGTATTTAGCACAATGTTTGTTCTGGGTCTCTCTCACCTTTCCAAAGTTAAGATATTCACTCTTCACACAAAGGACACTATTATGGAGACTGAACAAGGCTTTTCTGCTGGACCCCAGATTCCCTCATCCAGAAGGATTAAAAGTTTTTATTTGTCCTTCTCATCATATGACACATCATATAACAGCATCTCTGGCTGTTGTCCTCTCAGGGTGTCCCTCAAAGGGACCAAATCACAGCACATAGGCCACAGAGCGCCAACCTAAGAGTCCAGCAAGTGACAGAGGTGCCATTACTCAAATGGTTACTGAGGCCACTAGTGCCCTGTGATCACTGGACCTCTTTATGTAAAGGGCACACCAAGATCAAACTTCAAACCCAATTCCCGTGTTTGGAAGGTTTGAAACACTCATAAGGAAGGAGAGTTTATTTCCCCTTCATGTAACAGACACCAAACAACACCACATATGTTCATTTCAATCAGGAATGAACACTGACCCTGGCATCCTGTGTACTGCAAGCACACAGCCAGGTACCCAAAGCAAGGCAAATCATAGGATAATATACATGGGATTAATTGCATCAGTATTTCCCAGTGTGGAGAAGAGGCTCTGCTGGAGAGGGGTCTTCACTCTGCCAACACAAACTCACCCCAGACTTACCAACACACTACTTCCTTGTAGGAAGCGTAGGAACCTAAACCACCAAAACCCCACTCCAAAGCAACATCAAATAGAGAAACCAAGGCTCTTGCTGGCTGCAACTAGACACTATGGCAACGTGACACTGACTCCCAGAGAACTACAACAGTGCTTTTGCCTACTTCCTGTCATAGTTTTAGGGGAAACTATTTTCAGAAGTTGAAGTACTTCAGAAAAGACTGGCTATTTGCCATCAGTTGCAACAAAGAGTCTGTGTGAATCCCATCACTGCTGTTTGTGCCTCACACAGCAAGACCCAGATGTGCACTATGGGTTCAGCCAGGACATAAAATTTCAGCTGTCAGCCAGTTGGCCATAATATTGCTTCAACCCTTGTCCAATCAGTCCTTTCTGAGAAAGCATCCATACTTGTGTGGGTTTCCTGATTCTTCTGGAAAATACTGCCCAGTGCCCACTCTTTTGGGCTGTCCTTACACACCTTATCTGAAGCTGATGCCCATTTGATGTCTGGACTCAAAGCTGTTTCTTGCCAAGAGCTGAATGTCTTCTGTTGGATACTGGCTGCTGACTATTACCAGTGAAGAAGGACATGGCTGCCGCTATTTGTCTGGGACAGGTACCACCTATTTTTGCAAGTTTGTTCTGTGCATGTTGGGTATTCCTTATTTGTTTTCAAATAAGTAGTGCTTCTACCTATAGGATCAAGACTAAAATAAAAGTGCTTGCTGGTAACTCTGAGAGCTTAAATGCAGCAAGGTGAACGGGTGGGCCAGCTCCGTTATCAGAGGCACCTACACTTTTCCAGACAGTGACTGAAGTCATCTGCAGAGCCCTCTCTGATACTTTGCTTGCAGTTAACTGCCTGAAAGCTGCACTGGGGTGTAGGGCATGGTTCCATAACTCAGTTAATTGATGGTAATTAGAAGAGAATGATGCTTCTTGTAAGACCAAGTTCTTTACTAGATGAAAGATGTCAATGCTCCCTGAATTTCTGGAGTTTCCTTATATGGCAAAGGTATCTGTATGTTAACATTCAGAATAAGTATTTATTCTAATTTGATATTTTATTCATAAATTTTCTGAAGAGCAAGGTGCAAGTGCAATTTTTCAACTATGAAAATCACTAGAAACATTCAAGAACTTTGGGTGTATGAATACCATTCAGAGTTGCTCTGAAGTCTTCAGGAACTTGTGGTCCAAGAATCTTTACAGAACAATTGTGAAAAATCAGCACAATCTGATTTATATTGGGTTTCTGCCACATCATCAACTAATGTTAAAACATAGTTAGAGGTGTAGCAGTGACCCTTGCTGCCAGAACTCATATGTACGTCTCCTGCAATACTACAATGCCTGGACTGTTTTAAAATCAGTTCAGGAACACTGGTTTTAAATGAGTTAGCATGCTGGGGAAGTTTCCCAGCCCAGAGCTGGCCTTAGATCCTGTGTCAGTGACTGAGAGGCAATGACTGAAGCTATGCACCCTAGGGGAGAACAGGGAGTTGTCCTGAGTCACTGCATTTGCAGAAAAGCAGCCTCTCCACAAGAGGTGGGAAGTATTAGCATGATGAACAAGGGAGAATTTTGCTCCAACCAGCATGAGTCAGAGACCTTGCTTTTGCCTTGATCTGTGATAATAGAGATGAAAACTTGTATTTATTTGTATTCTCATCTCTAGAGCAATTAGTGCAACACGTACTGGCAAAACTACCCAAGAGCTGTACTTTAAAAGGAATTGAGCATTACTTGGGAGAAAAGATCAATGTAATGGGGAGAAAGAAGAAAAAAAGCACTCTAAATGTAAAGAGTTATTCTGTCAGAAGGTTTAATGAGAAAAATGCATATACACACATATAGGTGTGATCAGTAAATGAGGGATGGTAGGATACAGGACAGATTCATAAACTGTGTATTTGCTCCTCACAGACACCAGCCCTCTGCGGTTAAGAGCCTAAGATGATGGCTTGGTTGTCTTAAACCACAAACTCTCTAGTATCTTGACAGCAGATGAACAGAGCTCTAGAAACTTGATGTTCAGAGCCCCCTTGGGCACATGATCTGACTGCATGCAAGTTCAAAGACCTGCCTGAAGCCCCCAAAGCATTGCCAGCCCACGTAACTGTGAGTGTCAGAAGAGAGCACCTTTCCCAAACATGCTGCTTCTTTACCTGCAGCTATTTATTCCACACTAGGAGCCTGAAGAAATTAAATAATCCTACAACCCCCTCTCTAAGTCAGACTCCAAAGCTGCTTTGACCTTCATAATCTGTATTTAGTACATCTGAACAATAATATATTTGGTACTCACTGAAGGTCGGACACTCTATATACGCAATATTGGGCTCACACCATGCTGTAGCTATTTTAACTATATTACATCTGCCTAGCTTTTATTGGGTTTTAATTAAATGAAATTAAATGAGCATATATTTAGATTGAGATAGTATAAACTGACATTCATGCAGATATGCCAGGCTGGCTGTAAGATAGGATCTTAATGGTGCAGAGACTTTGCAAACTATTACACTCTCCCATATAATGAGGTATCTATTTAAATACTCCTTTCTTTAAAAAACAACTGTGCCCCACTATGGTACAGTGCTGGAGAGCTCAGTGAGCACCTCGCAGAATGGATCAGAGATTGCCCAACCCATCACATTACTCACACAGGATGAGTGCCGTCAGGTAAGTGGGACTCAGGCACTTCAAAGTGCAGGCCCTACTTTATATCAACTACAAATATAGGAAAGAGCCACAAATATAAGCAGGGATTGAACCTCTGGACCATAAGAAGCAGTAAACTTCTTGCTCCCCACTCATGCCAGGGTGGAGCAGAGCCTTGGTGAAACTTCCCTCATATTTTAAATACTTTCGCACTGAACTGTGGAAACCTCCCTTACTACATTATAGAGCTAATCAGTTTCTTTTGTGAGTCTGAGGATGTGTCCTCCTCATTGATTTCTAAAAAGTTCCCTTGACACCTCCCTTGGTAATTACTGTGTCTTCAGCAAGCAGCCAGCGCTAGTTTGAATCCCAGGTGAAATATTCAATTGAGATGTTGCTCAAGAACAGAGAATAGGAAGCAAAACTTGGACACAGTGACAGGATTTACTGGTTTGTTTTTAAACTTTCTATCTCACTAAACTTGTGAAGCAGCTGGTAGAGAGGCAGCCAAGTGCCTGCGAAAAGCAGGCTGGAGAACGTATAGCAAGTGCATCAGGAGCTGCCTTGCTGCTCATTTATGGTAATTTCTGATGCTGATTTAGTCAGCTATGAAGTGAAACACATCCATGTGCACTTTCCTATTGCTGCTTCCTAAAGCTTCTCAGAATAATTATCAAGTGTGGTATTTTCTTTTAGCACAAATGGATCAAGATTAAACCATGTTGTGGGGGAAATAAGCTAAAGGTCACTGGGAAATTTCATAAACTATAAATGCATTAGTATAATTAGCGCTCACTGGTACATCAAGGTGGGATAAGGAGTGTCAGGATGGGTTCTATTTTTGATGAAAGTGATGTCTCATTACCCACTCCCCCAAGTACAAGCCTACTTCTTATCATCCAAGCATCATCAGATTTAAGCAGAGGGCTCCTGCTATGGGGAAATGTGTCAAGATGTTCACCTTGCTAGGAGGAAGGTGGTGTTGCCCTGGCAGCAGCACTTGTAACAAATGGCTTTTGAGTGCCCACAGATACATCATGGCCAGGCAAGGCAGCCTGCCTCTTATTTAAGCACGAGACCTTTCTATACCAAAGTTGTTGCAGCTATGTTCCTTTCCGTACTTCAAGTAGGGTAATGTGGGCCTTTTTTCCCCAGGCTAAAGCTGCTGTGTAGTGCTGCTCTGCATTGTTAAATAGCCACTGCAATTCACACCAGGGAGCTGCACTTCATCAGTGAATAAAGCAACATTTTATTTTCTTTAATTCTCTAATAGGCCTTACAGTCCTGGGAGACTGAACAGTGCAGCACAAAACCAGGCGTCCCTTGCTAAAATGAGTGCATTCTTAGCCACCTACAAGAACTAACCGCCTGTATTTCAAAAGCTTGTATCTGGCTTATCAAACAAAAAAGTCAAAAAGAAATTGTATAGTTCAAAACTGTGTCCACCTTCCTTTGAAATCCACAGAATTGCTGCTGCTTGGATTTTCCTTTATTCTTCTGGTGTCACACAGCAAGGACGATAAAGATCTTAACAGAAAGCAAAGTATATGTAAGGAGCGAAGTAGTACGTGACCACTGATTGTAAAACCTCAACCAGCATCTCACTGTCCTAATTTGCATGGTGTTCCTATTAAAAATATCTGAGACCTGTTGAGTTGGAAGTGAAATGTCTGAGCCTACCAAGGATTTGGGGCAATGTCAAGACGGTCTACCGAAGAAGGAATCCAGGTGATGTTCCAAAAGGCATGTCCACTCTAATGTCTCCTTTTAACAAGCCACGATTTCCTGCCAGAGAGGATCAGCTCCAAAAACTGTTTTTATATTGTAAAAGAAACAAGCTGAAATCAAATTGGCATTTGGGTTTAGAATTGCATTTCAGTATTTCAGGGGAAAAAAACAATAGCAGCAAGTAAAGAGAAACAGAAGGAAGAGTGAGGAGGTAGGAAAGGCTTACTTGCTTTGCTACCTTACCCGAGCGGAGCTGCTTGATTCGCCCATTGCTAGTTGCAGTGTCAACAGGCAGGAAGTCCTTAAACCAGGAGATTTCAGGATCAGGGTTACCGCTAGCAGCACAGAGCATTGTGGCTGTGCGGGCCTTTTCCACCACTTTCAGCTGTGGGCCCATGTCAATGGTCGGGAAGCCAGCTGGGAGGTGGTCTTCTGCAAGAGAGAAAAACACAAGGTTAAAGCGAAACGTTCTGGTGCAGCGATGGGATACCACTGTAGTGACAGCAGTGCCATGGTACAGCATCTGTGCCTCTGCTGGAAAACAGCAGCCTGACTTCCCTACTGAGAAGGTTTTCCAAGCCCTTAAAGCACATTAGGCTCTATAATGAGCGTTCATTACACCAATAGAAGCTTCCACTAAATTTAACTGCGTTTAAATCAATTGCCTTGGGAAACGTCCATAATTTTCATTGATACGTAAGCTCCATCTATTGTTAATAATTCAGTAAAAGCAGGTATTTGCCTTTTTGTGGGAGGACTGAGTTGAAGATAATAGACAAACAGAAAGCCAAATAGTTCGAGGCATCTTGAAAAACAACAGCTAAACAATAAAACCCCTTAGAATGGTCCAGAGAGGCCTATTTTCTCTTTTTTTTTGACTAGGAACATTCTGTCACACTGGCAGGATAGACTGTAAATCTCTTCCTCATGCCCCAAAATCTGATTCAGAAGGCTTTTAGAAACTAATGAATGTAAAGCTAATGAGCCACACTCTGCTCATGAGCTGCCTCACCAGGCTGTGCTGTGGCTAGCTCCCGATGCATTTTCTGGGCTGCAGAGAGCAACAGAGGTATGCGAGAAATGGCCAGTGCACGCTCTGGCATGTCTTACCGAACTACTATAAGATGAAGCACCCCCTTTATTGCTAAAACCATCCATACAGCAGGTACGAAAATAGTTAGGTTTGCTGCTACTGCAGAGCTCGCTCAGGTAGGCTGGGTGGAATACATTAGGCAGCCTTCACTGATAAGCCAAGGCATGCTCCAACATCGTCATTCAATAGCAGCTGCAGAACAGACCTCATTTACTCATTCTGTGGCAAGATGTACTGTACTCTGCTAAGCCTGAACTGCAATCAAAAGGACATACTTTCACAGAAAAAAAAAAACCCTTAAAGAACATTAAGAAGCTTTTAAAGCACCAGAAACTCAATTATTTTCAGTATGTTTCTTTTTTCCCCCGTTTTAAGGGAACTTTTTAAAGCAAACCTCCCTCTTTGGCAAATCCAATTCTGCAAGGCTCTCAGCTCACTGCAGTGTTTAAACAAGCAGGACCTCAACATCTTCCCAAGTCCCAGAGGAGCCTGAATTTGCTGCAATCTGATTTTTCCTGCTAACAACACACATCTGGAAGTGTACCCTTCACTCCTGACTGGAAAGTACAAGCATCTCAGGTGCTTCCGTCTACCTGTACTGCTACACCTGCAGTGCAAACCCAGCCCGTGGTGACTAATCTTACATATTTCTCCCTAAGATCTCAGGAGAATTCCCAAGACCCTTGACTTGTTTGCAAATCAAGACTGTAGTACAAAGCAACATCTGCTGTAAACAAAACAATGCCCTGGAATATTATTCTTCTGTTTTGATGAGAGTGACTATGAAGCATCCAAGGTTTTCTAAAGGAAAAAAGGGTTCCTGATGCTTATTAAAAGCACAAACCATATTTTGTCTCCCAGGCTGGCCTCCCTAGAAACCTCTCTCATCATGAGCAAACATAAATGGATTTTTTTCTTTTTTTAAATGAAAGGTACCACAAAACCTAGTTCTTTTTTAATTTGCTCTCTATTGATTTTCAAAGACAAAAGGTACATACAGCTTAACTGGAATGACACAAGAGCTAGCATCCAATAACAAGCAACAGAAGCACTCAATATTGAGCAACCACAATGCGTACTCCTACATGGCTGAGAAGAAACAAAAGAAGGGTACACACAAGTACAGCATGGTATAGGCTGAAAAGCAATGGAAGACACATACGAAAAACCGTAAACAATGACATTCCCTTGGACTGAGGCCAAGTTTGCCTGAAGTGCAGCACCTTGCTATTTACAGTACTGGAAGCAGATGTTTACTCTGGGGAGCCTGAAACCTCCCCAGAGTAATTTAGTCACCATGATTACCATTGACAATCTTTTCTGGTTTATTCAAGATTTCACAAAGAATGCACTGAGCTAAGTATCACCCGATTAACTTGGTCCAAAGTCTGTGTGGAGGCTTAGGACACAGCCAAAAGCAAACATGAAACCAGCATTTGTGCAAGAAATCTCTTCCCCTCTCCAGTGATCCTTTGCCCACAGACACGAGAATGATCAGAAAATCCTTCACAGTGTCTGATGTACAGGGACACAACCAGACTGCTGCACTGGAGAGCTCAATCAAAATTAGCAGTTTGTGATGAGCTGCTGACCAGCAGAAATTATGCGATCTAACCTTGACTTCACTGCATGTGACAGAGACGCTGGTTACAAAGACTTGGTGACAAAGCTACCTCTGCCATACAAGAAATCTTTTCTGGACTCCAAAGAGATGTACCACGCTGCTACCATACCATGCACTTTCCTCCAAGCCCAAGCCATTACAGAGCCCAGATGTGAATGCTGGGCTGAGGGACAGCGGGCACAGGTGATCACCATGTAATGACCCTCAGACCCCAGATCCCACACATGCAAGGCTCATGATGCACATAAGCCTATTCCCTCTTCATTTGTACACAAGCCCCAAAACTCTAGCAGCAAACGACTGTAGTAGAGAAGTGCTGTATCCTGTGTAGTCAGAGCCACAGCAGGTTCCTTGGGCTAGCACTGCTACTGATACAGCCCAGTTCTCATGCGTGCTTGGAGACTGAAACCTGCCAATCTGCTATGGCCACACCACCAACAAAACTCAAGCAAGCAGCACTGGCATGTCTGCCTGCCTGCATCTACAAAAACACACAGGCAGCAAGGATTTGTTTGATCCCTTGTCAATCAAATGTAGAGGCAATGCTGGAGTTTAAGAGCAGCAGTGTGTCACTGGGTGACAAGACACCAGGGAAATTTGACAGCCAGTCTCTGATGGCACCTCGGACACCTGGAGGCTGGGGGTCGCCTGCTGTTACTTCTGGCCTAGATCCAGGGGGCCTGCACTGGGCCAAGGTTACAGTGTCCAGGGCTCAAGCTCAAGGGGAGGATGAGCACCTTTTCTGGAGGTGGTCCAAGGGCCTCAGGTACCCATATCATCATGAGATGGGGACCTCAACTATTCCATGTTTCCCCTGTACTGTGTGTCCCTGGCAGCCCCCTCCAACCCTCCCTGGCGAAGAGTGGCTGTGAAGATGACCTGAGCTGGTCACACTGCAGAGCAAAGCCCAGCACAAGCTCATGCTTGCCCTGTCAGCAATGGTCCCATAGAGATAACAGGGCTTCGTTCCAGTCTGGCTTGGCGTTGCTGACTTCACTGGAACGGCGAGGGATGTCTCTGTTCAAACACTAGAGGCGACGACAGGAGTTCTTGCCTTGCCTTCCCCTCCAGCAAAAGTCTAATCTAAGGTCTAATTATGAGGCTCAGTCATGCCTCGGCTCCTTTCAGCCCTCGCTAGCTGTACTAACTTGTCTGCACACGGAGCTTGTCACTAATAGCTATTCATGCCAATATGTGGATACCCTTACTCTAGAAAATGAGTTTGTCAGCGCTTGGTTTTATTCAAGGATAGCTATTGTGCTTTTAATGCACATTAAAACAGGCTATGAATCTGCTTTCAAGTGCAGACTATCTAAACCAGTTTTTCCTTCTGGGTTTCGAATACTTTCACAAGGGGTGTACTTAAGTTAGGCATTCGGTTAAAGCAAGCACAATCTAGGCACAAACAAGAATTTTTTAGGGCACTGCAAGCTCCAATTCCCTCCATGGACTACAGCAGCAGAAGTAGAAATGACAGAGAGAAAAGCAGGAAGAGGAGAGAGAAGCAGGAGGAAAGGAGAGGGAAACAGCAAGAGAGAGAAAAAAAGAGTGGGTTTTGCAGTTACAAACTGAAACTTGGAAAATCCATGACCAGGCTGAGGTCTTGCTAGCAGCAGTCACCAAGGAACCAGGAATGTCCCTCTGGCATCTAGCATGACAGCATGTGTAGAGGATCTCATGCTCACTTGACAGCTCCCTTTGCTAATCTCCTTTCTGAGGTGATAGAAATCTAACCCCCATTCTCTCACAGCTCTTTTGTGCCACACATTTCCTGTCTTTAAGGGAAAAGCTAAGGTAAGAAACCTTTCCCACAGTCCCAGACTAGAGCTGAGACCTCCTTTAGAGCAGCTGTAATTACTTGGCTCATTCACCAGCTACCCAGAAAACTACCTTTCTTGAGGATGCTGCCATGAGACACATACCCCTTGGGACATCCTTATTTTCTGCATCACTCCAAATATCAAGAGATGATAGGGAACACTGAGGCAATTACAATTTACGTCTTACGAGAAGCACGGATCAGCCCCAGCATAGAACAGTATGTGGATAACAGCTACTTACAGAAAAGGCCTGCAGAGCAGTCTGTGGTGAGCACAGCTGTTGATGGCTGAATCCTGCAGGATTACCCCCAGGATTTTGATCAAAATTTGTAATCTCCCACCAAACAGAAATGTCGGAGGGGTTGGGTTGCAGGTTCCTACTAGGGCAAACCCCATGTAGTACTCACTGGTCTTGCAGCCATGCGACTGTGTTTTGGGGGTCATACCTTGACTTGTCACCTGTAAAACCTTCCCCCTGCTACTGTATTTCCTCTGTGTCAGTGTATTTTAGAAATGATAGTGCAAACTGTAAACATGTTTATGGGAGTTATTTGTCATATTCTTCTTCCTATAAAAGCCAGGACTGCTTAGTATCATGTGTCCAATTGTTCAGACTGCTGAGGGAGAGGAAAAAAAATGATCCCCAATATAATTTGGAAATAGCAAAAAGTAGCTTTTCTATACATTACAGCTATAGCTGTGAGGTTAAATCTCTCACAATCTATCAAAACTAGTGCCCCACTGGAAGAGGTGTTCTCAACTCATTTCAAGTGAGATATTGGGCCTTACCCCCACACAGGGATGGAAACAGCTTATCTGGGCCATTGGCTCCTGCCAGCCTGCATCAGCTGAGGAACTTCCAGCCCAACATCAATTTCAGGGGCTCGGTAGGGAT